CTTGTACGAGTAAACGATATTTATATACAGTTGTTTCGGAAAAAAAAGCGTGTCGGAAAGAGTACATGATAGCCCCGAAAAGTACTGTGGGTAGTCCTCAAGTCTTGGTTACTTGACCTCAGGATTTCGGGCAAGTCGGAGAAAATGTCATTTTAAGAACATAAAAAGATTTTCCAAAACCCAACTACCAAAATTTCATGAACTCACAGACGTGTGAGGTAAAACATTTTCTAAAAAAGCAGATCAGAGAGGCGTATGAATAGAAATGGAAAACAGAAATAAGCCACATTTTCTAGCTTATTTGTTAATATCCTTTAGGTGATTGCGATTATATTATCTTATCATTATAATCATAATTATCCCTTTGTTTATCATCATGATAATTATCTTTGTTTTCATTTTTCATCTTTCTGTAGAATGCCCCAGTGTATCTTTTAAAAACTCTTGGTACACATTTTCGGCGAGGATAATGCCCAAAATCAGGGGCTGGGGCTGGTACAGAGCCGCTTGCCAAAGCCTAGGAGGAGACCTAGTTTCCATCGAAACCGAAGAAGAGTGGAATTTCATCGCTGACGAAATACAAAGGCGAAATGCTAGCATCCCTAAACGTGGGTGGAGCATTGGATTAATGAAAAAGGCTGGGAATTGGACCTGGGTGAGTGGAACACCGCTGACCATTAGCAAGTGGGGAGAAGGGCAGCCAAGTGGTGACGGCAATGTGACTCACATATACAAGCGGTCTAGTAATGGCGAACGAGTTGTAATTGGTGATTGCAGTGAAGATTTGTACAGCGATTATATTTGTGAAATTCCCAGGGGTAAGACAAACTTACCATTTTGATAATTGTTATATTATATTATCATTATTATCGTCATCATCATTATTATTATTATTATTGTTATTATTATCATTATCACTATAATAACGTTTAATAGCTAGTGGGGTCAAAATAAACATTGTCAAGCTAGCGTTTGTCAAACTTACCACAGAAATTATAAGCCTTCTGTTAGTCATGATCAAGTTTACACTTAAATTTTTAGGGATAGATTAAGGCTGGGGAAATTCAATATATGCTTTCACGATATACATGTCTAGCTATCACCCTTGTGAGTGGAGGAAAGGTAGCAGAGGGTTTAGTTACGGTTTATGTACCTGCAATGTGTACCTACAGAGTTCAAGGTCATTTACTTTTATTACCAACTTTAATTTGTTGCTAATTATGAAGCAGAAACGTGAGGCCAAAACAGTTACGATAATACACGAGGACGTATTCACATGCTCTATAATGTCAATTCATTCCGGTGTTCACTTAATATAGATCTTTAATAATGTAAATTAGCAAAATACAACTTATTTAAGTGTCCGCATCCGCTTAATAGAGGTGTCTGCTGAAAAGGAGTTCGTTATAAAGGGAAAAGCAAGACGTTCATTTAAAGACTCGACTTAGTATTGCTTAGTATTACGCGCTTCTCTTAAGACTGTAATCGGGAAAGCCAGCGGATTCCTTTACAAGCCAATGACAATTCCCAAAATATCCACGTGATTATACCCGTGATCGGAAACAAAGATAAATCCATTTGGCGCTCATCTTTGAATGTACTTTTCATCGGTTGATCGCTCGTGCGTTAATCTATTTCTTTTCACGACTGTTTTGCTGAACATAACATCTCTACTTGAATATGTCTTTTGCCAGTTTAAGCAATATAAGGGAAAAAAACTGTGGCATCTCTTTACTTCAGCTTCGAAAGAAACAGTCGCCCCCACCATCCACCCCACCATGACTATTTGCATCCTTAAAATTCAACCAGAATCACCCCCTCCCCTCGCTAAGGGGAAGATTTGTCTTATCGTCAGTTTTGCCGATGGTTTAAATCTGCCGCTCGTAAAATAAGTGAAAATTTTGAAAAATTCCGCAGTTATTTTAAAGCTGTTTCCGCCATTGTTCCAAAGTGGCCATATACGATTACCGGGGCATTTCACACAATTTTTTCTTACGCCGGATCAAAACGGATTTTTCAGAGTAGGCAAGATGAGCCCAAAATTTATTTATTTACTTTACTTGAGGATTTGTACCAAGTACAGGAGCACAAACAATAGGACATGGGTCCCCTACGAGGTTTAAGCTCCAACAAACCCACCCATCCCACCGCACGGGAGGACATCCATCACACAGTAATCTCGTGCGTGGGAAATTAACGGCTCCTACCTCTAACCCTGCAGGAGACAGGACCTCCATTTTATTCGTCCCTATCCGGGACGATCGACAGCATGATAAAGAACATGTGCCTCCGAGCTGGTATTGATCCTCCTTTCACAAATCACAGTGTCAAGTCGACCACTGTAAATATTTTATCGCCTAAAGATATAAAAAATCGACACATCACCGTGGTCACGGGCCACAAAAGCGATGCAAGTTTAGAATCCTACAACGATCGCCTAACGTTCGAGCAGTTGAAAAATTTGTCTTCGGCGATTGCAGACTTTATCAATTTCTGTAGACTTGACCCTCAATATGCTATTAACCCGCTAGCAGAGATGAATCGCTCTCCCTTCGAAACAGTATCCAAAGCAATTCACTCAAGTATGCTCGCAAATGTCCTGGAGAGCATTTGTGTTCAAGAAAAATGTCTACTAACGCTCCAAATGGCATCATCTCTTGTGGCTCCTTCTCCAACTGCTCTTTCAGTTTCCAATTTAAGTAAACTATAAAAAAAGGCTTTTGGATGTTTTCTTTTTTTTCTTTCTTCAGTTCAGACTATTAGTTTAGGCTTTCTGTGAAGCAATTTTGAGCATTTTGAAAACATTTTGTGGAAAAAAGCTCGAGCAAAGATTTACCGCGTTTCAACTTTCTGTAAACTCACTCACCGTTCATTCATCAGGCATGAATTGACGTCAATAAATTGCCTTTAAATGGCTTCCTTTTAATTACTGTCGTGATCAGTTCGTGTGTTTAGAGTGAGACAATTATTTCCAACGTCGGTGAATAGTGGCTTTAGGGAAAGTTTACATCGCCGCTTCGAAGCTCGGTAAATATTCAGCCACTATTCACCTCGATTTCAAAGAGCTCGGGCTCGTCAAAATACGGCACAAATTGTAAAAATACTCAGCGATACTACACAATAAAACGTTAAATGATTCATTTATTATCCAACACGTCAAATTGTTCAGTTTCAGTGCGTGCGAATTTCGCGGATATTTGTTTACGAGGAGTGCGTGACAAAAGTATGCGAAGCGGAATGGATTTGACACGTTGTCGTGTTAC